AACATCAACACCTCGTGACAATTGGTATATGGTTGAATGTTGGTATTTCCTCGACTATTAGGTTTCATTAGTGTTAATTTATAACACCGTGATTAATAGTAGTATTAATCGTTCGTTCGTTTTTTGGCGCTTGAATATATTTGAGCTTTCCTATAAATTTTTGTTCTTTGCTAGACATTACTCTTTTGTTTGTACACACCTAGGAGAAGTTTGGTTCGCTATAGTTGATATAGCATGTTTAAAAAAGAGGTGTGCTCTATTTTTCTTAAATTTTCGATTTCGACTAATAGGAAAACGGACAGGAAAGCTTTTCCTGTAAACAGTTTCTCCCTCATTCTCAATATTTGAGAACCTCGTGTTTCACTTTGTATGACATCAGAACACTTCAAATACGTCTGTGGGTTTGGTTAGCAAGCACGGTTTTATTTTGCTAGTCGATCCGGTGAACCACATATGTTTGTTATGCTGGAAAATAACAAACGTCATTGGTTGTGATTAGAAGGTTAAAGTTCGCCGGTCCGGTTTACTGCCAGATTCATCTGACATGCGTCAATCTAGAATATTCAATTATATCGCTATCTTTCAATTCACCTCTCCTACCCCCCTCCCTTCTCGACTGCAAATTCCAGAATTTTTTGTTGTTTTGCTGACCTTTGACAATATTTTCCTGGTTGTTTTGACATTTGGATTGTATTCGTTCGAACTGCTCATTTTTGATCTTTACACATTCCGAATAATGTTGCAATTTTCAGAACGTGTGTGTATTTATTTACTCAACGAGAAATTTCGGCGATTTTTTTTTCGATATTCAATTTCAAATCTTCTCGTGTTTTTTCTCGAAACAATTTTCTCATCATTTTGCAATTTCAACTAATTTCTCAACTTGTTTAAAAAAAAGAGTAACAAAAAAAGTTTTTTTTGACAATCCATTGCATTCTGCCAAAAATGCAAAGATCCTCGAGCCAAAAATTGTCCTTCTGTTTATATTCCGGTACCCCTGGGAACGACGAAAAAAGCCGACAGGAGAAAAAATTCCACCAGGATACACTAGTTCCTTTTTTCATGCCTTCTTTCACACCTAACTATACATCGCAAATTATTTATTCTCTATTGAAACACTACCCACCTTTTCAATTTCGTGCGTTTGTTTTTTTTTTATTTGTGATAGAAGTATAGTCGTCATCACGAATAAAAAAAACACGTGATCCATATTTTTCGCATGGTTATAATAATTTAGGTGCCATTCAATACGAAATTCAAGTGATGCGTCAGTCACGAAAATGTTCACGCTGATACTTATGTTTGTTAGAGTAGACTAAGTGCGACTTTTGGTTTCTGTTGGCGTGTGGGAGTCGCGGAGGTCTTGATTGATAAAAAAAAGTGAGATTGAGGAAGAAAGAGAGCACCATAAAAAATAGAAACCAATTTTGATATAACATACCACCCGGTAATATTTGACCAAAATAAAAAACTCCTATTGCGGTCACAAATTTCTTCACAAGTTATCAGTCAGGCTATCAGGCAAGAGACAAATCGGAATATTTGGTCCAAATTAACATCACGACAAATAAGAAGGAGCACTCTGAGTATTTGTGGACTCGTTTATTTTTTGGGGAGGGAATTCCAATTTTAATTTAACAATGAAAATTAATGCATTGTGCCGCTTTTTGGATTTTAATCCAATTATTAGATGAGAGTTTGTAATATATTTTGAATACTTATAATAATTTTTTTTGACGTTTTTTGTATCCATTTAAAAAATTTGATTCAAATTTAACGATGTTTCAATTTCCTTTAACATTTGTGCGAAAAAATTGACTTCCTTTATTTAAATTATTAAATTATGCAAACCAAGGCTCTCACTTATTTAAATATAAGAACCCCCGTCCCCATTGGCGTTCATCTCTTTGGAGGAAGTAAAAATATCTCATAAATCCTCATCCATGAAAATTCTCTAATCGCTAGTAAATCCTTCTGGCACATATTTCACTTCCCCGTCAATGTCTCTATATAATTACACCATTCGCATTTTTCTGGTTTTAATTTTAATTGATTAATTTGCCATTGGATGAATTTCTATTGAAAATTTCAAAGCGCCAACACGAGAAAATCACACCAAAAGAGGTGAATAGGCAAGATTAAGAATCGGAGAAATGCATCATCAACGCGAGTTGCGAGAATTAGCCACCTTAAATGTTTTCTTGTAAGTTAAATGAAGGATCTGAAGCTTTATCTTCTTCAATTCATTTTGTAAATGTTTAATAATCATAATTTTTAAAAGCAACAAAGAAAAACATTATAATGGTGCTTGTATACATTCATACATCTCTCTGGCTAACATCCATACATTTATTATTGAAATAGTTTGATGTGCGAAGTTCAATTCATCTGGTATTACTCTTCCATTGCATTCTATCTATTTTATAGTAAATAATTAATTTTAGTATCACCCCTTTGACCAAATTCACGATTTTACCAGATTAATTTATTTCAATTCACCCCCACAACGTTATGTCTTACTGTAACGCTTTATTACTGTGACCTCACATAAATTTATTGGGTTTTGAGATACGCGCGCAATTTCTCATTTTCCTTTGTCTAGACGTGCTTGTCCTGCCGCGATTTTCAATGGAGCTTTTGCCCAAAACTGATTTATATATTCAATGCGTAGGCCTTATAAGGATAACCAAAACAAAAAAAAGGTCATTTTTTGGGAAAGGGGGCTTCTTGGAAATCTTATTTTTATGAGGATTTAAATGGCATTGTTTTGGATTCTGGAAATTTAAGACCCACCTGCTCAAAAACATGCACTTCAACGGATAATGCAAATTCATGTCCATTTATGTCATTTCGATTTTCCATATAAAAGCAAACGTTTAATTTGCATGTCATGATACCGCGAACATTAAAAATTGAGCATCATTTTAGCGTCTTCTCGTATGTTTTCTTCTACACGTGTATCATCAAATATATAATAGGCTTAACATAATCATAAACTTTGCTAAGCCCGAATTTCCTAGTAGCTAGGAATCAAGTCTGAAATCTTTGATGTCGCAAGAAAAAACAAGTTGTTTCAAAAAAAAAGAATGCCGAAAAAATGGTTCTCCAATTCCTTCGTCTCGCTTAGCCAGCAGGCCGCTTTGTCTATCATTGCCATGTAGCACAGAATTATTTATTAATTCTTCGACACTTTTTATTTTCTTTTTTTTGTGTTCTGTTCTGTCCGAAAATCGTGTCGCATTCTCGCCAATTAAGAGGAGCCCCCCGAATGGGAAGAAAAAAAAAACACGGCAGTAGAGAAAAACGGAACGGAATCGAATGAAACGCCTCCTCCTTTTTTTTCTTTCATTCTAAATTAGCACGCCCATTTTCATTCAGTCTTTCGGCACTCTGTCCGTTTTAATTCGGTTTTGTGCCGCATGGACGGACTTTGATTCCCGACAGAATAGATGGCAAATTTCTTACTTTTTGGCAACATGCATATAATTGCCATTCCCCTCGTATTTTTACTATTTTTATATTAACGATTGGCTTCTAATTTGTTTTCATATCATTGTTTTCCTCCGATCGAAATTTCATTGTATTATTGCCGAGAAGTGTCACTCATTCTTTTCATTAATAATTCAGGACTAGCAAGGAATATAATTTTTTAGAATTAAGTCGCTTCCTTTATTAACTAGGATTACTGTAGCTATTTGAGTTTATCTTTTCCAGCAATATCTTCTCTCTATAACAATGTTTACATTTCTTTTGTCCAAAAAAAAAACTTCGTTGATACTATCTTCATTATTCTTTTCTGAATGAGATTCCTTTGAAGGTGTTCATCTTCAACCCGACACATCACAAAGAACTCGCTTTTCGAAAATTGTCAATTTTCAAACGTGCCGTCAACTAGATAAAACACGAACCGCGCGAATCTGTTTTCACAAGATAGGCAAGATTCGTTAGAAAGTTCACGATTGATATTATCGTCGTCATTCTCAAACCGCACACCACCCACGAAGCTTTTTTCTCCCATTTCAATTTTTCACAAAAACTCCGGCACCATAAAAGGGCTTTTAACAATTCTGCAGAGGCCGCCTGTCGAAAAAAAAATACTTAATCTTGACCTCACACGCAATATCTTTGAGTTTTTATTACAAAAAAGGACTCATTTTATTGCCTAAATTGCGTGCCCACCGTACCCCAACCCCTTTTTTTTGTCAAAAATAGCACTATTTAAAAGAGTGCTCACACATTTTATTGGCGCAAATTAGCTGAAATTATTAAACGAAATGTTTCAAATAATTGGTTTCCCAATATGCACACTTGGGACATCGATTTTGTCGGTTTTGTTTCATTTATTGAATATTTGTTTGACCTAAGCACTTTTCAAATTAGCATCGTTTCAAACGCCGATCGCTATCTTCTTCGTTGTTTTGGTTTTTTTTTCTCATTTTATTTTTCGAGTAAAACGTTACACTATTCGTTTTCAATCAATCTGACATCTCCGTATTGTATATAAACTTCACGCGAAATTTTGTGTAATTCAAACTGACGGAGGTCAAAAGACCTTTCATGCCTTCGAGAGAGTATTGTAGTGAATTTGAAATTTCTTGAAAACAATTGTTTTCAAAAAAATAATTGTCGGCAATGCTCATTGGTGTTTGAATTAGCCGCCGATCGCAGGTGAACATATATCATTATTTATAAGAATTGGATGCCAGTGATGGGTCCTCGCTATCAGCACTTGAAGATATCTGTTTTGTGTGAGTATGACTTCAATTTTTCGTCTATAATTAGCGTCAAACCCGATTCACCAATATAGAAAATTTTTGGTCAGTTGATAGCACGTAGCATTATCAGTGCGATGTACCGTTCGTTTTTTCTTGCTGTTGATTAAATTAAAACACGTCAGCCTTCAACTACTATTCAGTTGTTTTCAGACGGTGTCAAACAAGGCGTGATATCGAATTTTTTTCTTTTTTTTCCTTTTTCAACAACGCGTCTATTTTGTGATAATGGGCTGCACTTTCTCGCGTACTTCGTCATCGGAAGATTTGCGCAAAAGCGCCGAAAAACCTCCAGGTAGAGCAAAATAAAAATAAAAATACACACACACACACACACACACACGCATATTGCAACTTTGTTATTATTGGTTTTGCAGAGCCAGCGCCAAAGAAGATTATCCAGAATCGCGCGCCACTCCCAGATCTCAGGTAATTTATGACTTCTCCGTTTTAGTGCAGAATTTTGAATATTGGTCTTGTGACGACAAAGCACAAGGTTTTCCGGAATCGCCAGGCAATATTTGAGATAAGAAAACTGCAGGGGGGAATCGTTTTTGAAGAAACGAGAGGCGAATGTCGCAATTAATGACTGAAATGAGTGCTAATGGCAACATGAGAAACACAACATAAGAGATATTTCGTGAAATGAGCCGATCGTGAGACACGCTCATTTTACAGTAAACAGAACATTGAAAATAAATAATTTGTTCGCAAAACTTTCCACGTGGCAAAGCGTTGTGCAATATTGATTCCTGAGATATAGTATATAGAAGAAGATCAATATTCCATTCCACAAAAGACGTTTTGTTTTTGAGAAGAAGCATTCATTAATCATTTCGTAAATTCACACTAATCTTCAAGGTGCAGCCAATTTCTGAAAGACGAAATGCGTCGGTTTCTCAGCTCTCTCACCACTTATTTTTCAAACAGGCCGCGTATCCGTTTTTCTTCCTAATGATAAAGGATCGCAGCACTTTCAGCTCGTGCTCATTAATTTTTTCTAATTGCTCCCTTCCCCCACAATAACAATTCATATCCCAATTATATGACAGATTTTTTTGCGAACTAATTGACCCTAGCGGGTCGGAGCTCACTGAGCAAACTTCTCAACAATTATCGATTCGAAGGCATTTGTCAGGAGGTTTTTTTAGAACAATGACAAAATTTGTATACCCTCTGCCCTTTTTATTAGACGACTGTACAGCACGCAGAAAAATTACGAGAAATTTCAAGAATTTCAAGACGTTGACGGTTTCCGTTTTTAGTCAAATCATTCGCTGTCAAATGTGGTAAAATCCAATTTTGATAAAAATTGAATGATAACCGTATTTCGAACACGCTTATCAAACTGCTTCTATAAATAACTACAACATGGAAAAAAACTTTTGGATATTTAAAAATAATTGCAATTGTTTGGCTTTTTCAAAAGAAAAATCAAATTTCAGAAGCGGACCAAATGGAAATGTTCTTCAGATTGCCGGCAAGCCAATCATGTAAGTTGATTTGTGTCGGTTCATTCTTCAATTTTCTTTCGGTCTTCGCACTTCCATTTCCGTAAAGGATGTAGTGCAATTTTGAGAAATGGTTGAAACAAAAAAGATTTGACCGACCGTTTTTTGTTTTGTAATTAAATTTGCGAAGACAACAACAAGAAAAAATCGCACGTCGAATGAAAACGTTCCCCCACTAGAGCAGAGAAATTTTTTCTTTAGCGATCTCCCGATTCTTTTGACATGGTTATTCTGATACATCAACAGAGAGCAGGCAGCGATGTTTGCCTGTTATTGCCTACAATGTCGAATTGTCCATAAATTAGGCTAATAGTAAATATTTTGCGAGAAGTGCAATTTCTACTATATATTTTTCGAAAACACTACTGTCCTTTATGAATATGCATAGCTCTCTTTTCCAAAAACCGGACACTGATGTCGAAGCAAAAAAAAAACTACTAAGGGAGATGAAATATTGAATAATATGTATTTTCAATTGATTTGTGTATTTTTTTCAGTGAGGTGGAGAGCGCCAGCCAGGCCGATTTCTTCAAAATGCTCGACGACAAGATAAATAGGGTAAGTATTCAGGATAATTGGGTATTCGTAGTCTAACGAGGCGATTTGTTGAGAATAGCAAAACCAAAAGAAACATGTTGGGGGCAGGGGGGTGGACGAAATTATAGCCTGAAAAGTTTTTTGTCTAAAAATAAGCATTAAATATTTAAAACGAAAAAAATATGATTTCTTGAAATTATATATTTTCTCAATTCAGAAACATTTTGAAAGCGTTCTGAATTAAAAAAAATATTTTCTACTATTCTGCCGACGCATTTTTAAAAATAATGACAACGATACAAGATCTCCTTAACAAAAAAAAATACAATTTAAAAAATCGTTTTATTACTTTTATTTTATATTATATAATTTAGGGAAAATGCGACTCGGACACTGAAAGTTGAAGCAACTCGCCATAATTAACACCGACTGTTCCCTGCCAACACTCTCCCAATTCGTCTCAATCCCTGTCGCATCATCATCTTCATAATCTCGAAAAAAAACCATACGCTTATTAAGTCGAAACTCACACATTGTAATATATATTTTTTTTTTCTCAATTTGAAAATCCCCACGTCTCGATTTGTGATACTTCTCGGATAATTAACCAGTCATATTTTGTAAGAAAATAGAAGTGTTCAATTTTTTTCCAATCATCCTCCGAAATATTCTTTATTCTTTTAAACCCCCTCCCCGCCGAACCCATATCCGTTCATTATTACCATCATGTCCAAAACTTGACGTTGCTGTTTGTTTGACGAGTTATATAATGAACTTCCGCAACCCCGAAAACCAACGAATCATTTTAGGGTAATCTAGAAATTTTTTTTGTCGCCAAAACACACAACCACCACATTCCAATTGATATAGCTGCTTTTTAAAAGAGAATTTCTCATGTTAATTTTAGTGTTCTATGTAAGAATTAAAACCAAATCTCTCTTAAACAACTTTATTCTTTTCTTGGTAAAACTTGGCATTTCTCATGATATTTTGTAAATCGTTTTCTGAATAAAACTTTGAGCATGAAAAGACGGCAACCGACGGTGTCAAATTAGGAATTGAAGCGTAAACTCCGGGAAATACGCATGACTTGGAATTTAAGCGATCGTGGTAAAACTTTTCGAGAAGCTCAGTTTCGACGGTGTCGGCGATCAAGAGCGGCCAGCACAATGGCAAGGGTGAGTCAATATTTATTTCATTGAAATTTTCGCAAGTTTCATAAATTTTTTTGTTACAATAACAGATAGCAAAATCTTGCTTTAAATATGACAAACTACTTTTTCCTTTAATTTTTATAAAAACCTTATTTTCTCTGTAGCTTAACACTTTAACTATTTTTTATTGTTTCGAGCTGAATAGCCAAATAATTTCAGCGATCCGAATATGACGATCCCAACGAAATCGTCCGTATGGCTCGATTGGCTGTTAAGGAAGCCAATATGCGGGCAATGCGTATGCAAGGTCAAACCACCCAACAATTAATGCAGCGTGTCAAGGATTTGAAATATTGGAGCGGCGAGATTGATAGGTTATTTCCAATTTTTTTTTAATTCAGAAATATTTTTGCGGTGTTTGACATTCTTCCGGTCAAATACATGTTTCGTGGCACCAAGAGTCTAACCAGATGGAAAAATTGCACAAACATCAAGGCGAGAAAAAATAAAGCTTGACGTGTAATGTCAAAACCAAAACTGAAGTTTTCCGGAAAATATGTGAAAATTTTCGATCTGATATGTATACGCTTTTTCTTCCCGAAATCCAGAACGACTTAATAACATTCAATGAATGAAGTTTAGGGAGCTTGCGGATGTCAAAGAGGAGCATGACGATCTGCTCCGATGCTACAAAAGACTTCAATTATGTTTGGATATAACTGGACGGGCGGCAAGATGCAATGAGAGCTGCTTAGCAGTTCGCCGAAAGAAAGTTCAAGTAATCATCCAGACAGCTGCTTGAGCTTTATCTATGTGTTTATAAGGTTGGAGATCACACCTCAGATCGTGTAGACCTTGAGCTTCATAAGGAGAAAGAGCTAATGAATGATTGTGTTCGTCAAATGAAAGAAATTGGGGGCAGGGTTGAAAGACAGCTCGAGGTCAATCAAGCAGCTCGCAAAAACTTGATGCGAGATCTCACATTGAAACAAGAAGCGATTAGCTTAGATCATAGAAGTGTCGCGATGGGTGTCGACGGAAAGGAGAAGAACATCAGAACTCCTGATGGCGATCGGCTCGATTTTCGGTTGGCTGAAATAATGAAAACGCGGGTTAATCTGGAAAATTTCAGCGAGGGCGCCCCTCTTCAACGAATGAGCGAATATTCTGAATGGATTGAGAACACTGGCAACAATTTGAACTACGCCGCTCGTGCTCGTGTTCATAGTCGTAAAATTGGACAGGTGTCCTTTCGTCGTCATTAGAAATTCAAAATTTTAATTGTTCAGAAGCTTTCCCAATCGGTTCGCGAAATGGCGCAGCAATTGAGAACCGAGGCGATCGCCGTCGAGGCACTTCTCAAGGATTCGGTGCGCAATTGGCAAGAATGGCGAGATAATCTTCAATCGCAAGTACATTAATTGACATGCCTCATTAAAATCAATTATCTTCAACTTTAAAGGTTAATGCAAAGGACAAAGAGATTAAAGGAGCAGACGGGGCAATTGAGGAAATCAATTTCAGCTTGCGCCAGAAAAGTGGCCCGCTCCAGGTGGGAAGCTCGATAACATCCATTTATAAGCAATTAGCTCAGGTGGCCCTTTCTCGTCAAAACCAGCGTGGACTACGTCCAGGAATCGAATTATGCAATGACAAGGCTCAACATGCTCTTCATCAAGAGCTCATGATGCTCAAGAGCACATTCTTGAGTCTTGAAAACCAGCTTGGTACAAACAAACTTTGAAGCATATTTGTTCATTATTAAGAATTTCAGACAAGGCGAAAGAAAGCCGAAAAAAATTGGATAATGATCGAGACAAACTTCAAAGAAAATTGGAGATTTGCGACCACAACCTTACAATTGATAATGAGATTTTGAGACAAATTCGCACCAGCTATCCGCACGAGATTCAGCTTTCCGGATTTTTGCTCAGCGAGACCAAGGAGCACAGATAAATGACTAAATGATGCATGCTATATTACCCTCTTCTTAACTGTCGTAGCGGCATAATTCATTAAATATATAAACACATATAAAAAATAGTTAATGGGAAACCTACTAGCCTATCGCATCACATTTACCAATATTCCTAACCACAAACTTAGCTATCAATGAAATGTCAATAAAACTAATTCTTGCATCATATGTCGGAGCACACAATTTGAAAATTTAATTGTTTTATTGGACATGCACATACAAATGATTGTCATTGAGACCCGTACATTAAATTGTTGTGAACTACAATCAAACACCTCCCGCAAGTAAAACGAAACAAGTCAAAAACAAAACAAAAAACTATACAATGACAGAGTATTCCGGCGGTGATTGGAGCAACGGTTGGGTTTCCTCGCACAATAGTCGGTATTTCCAGGAGAACTTCCACATGAACATACTCCACTTGAACGTCATGAAAAACCAGACGGCGGTTATCCAGAGATTCGGCCCCTTCAATCCTTCCGGTGTAATCGTTTGTCCCTCGACTCCGGCAGTGACCAAGCAATAAATCATTGCAATGAAGCTAATGATTGACAATGTTGCTCCTAAACACTTATACATTCGCCACTCTTACATTTAATGAAGCGAATTTACACGTACCGACGGTCGAGATGCATTTGAGTTTGGTCATTGACCACCCAGCCATTTGAGTTTTCTTATATGCCATGTGAAGATGCAGAACCATAGTTGCCACAGCGCTTGAGACGTATGCCATGAACACAGCGGGCCAATTCTGCAAATAGCTAAACACTAATAGCATTTAAATTGATTTAGTACTTGAAATTGGATGGCGAACACAGTTCCAGCCATGATACCCGCCGAGACGCCAAGCCAAGCAATCCAGATTTGAACCTTCAATGAATGGAACCAAGTGCAGAATGATCGCCGCTCCTCATGGACCTCCATAATAACAGAAGTTGTTTTAGAATTAGCTCGAGCCTTCACTTCAATTGATGGGATATCTTGACTATAGATTCGATGCATATACTGAAAACGAAAAACGATTGCAAATGTATGGTGGCAGCAAGATTGAAGCGCGACGCTCATTCCAGTTCATTTTTATTCAAACTCTTATCAGGATAGCATCATTGTTGCACCATATGTTCTTCAAGTCTTATCAATACCGAACCACATTGTTTTTTATGCAATGGGCTGAACTTGGAAATAGTGCCTTGATACGCACTATACAGACCGAACTTACCCGGATTCAAAATCCAGCGATGCACGTGATCCTGAAATAAAACAATCCGGATGGCTCTGTTTTTTCTGTGAAGTGCGATTGAATAGAAAATAAACAAATAATCTTTGAAGAGTGGGAGGGGGGATTCCAACATATATATTGAGTGGATCGATAAAAAGGAGAGAAATTGACATAAAGTGTGAAGAAGAAGGGACACTAAGGGTATTCTATGATGAACAATCGCTAGAAATGAGCGATTCTCTCATTACCTCATTGGATAATATGATGCAATTGGAAACCCGTTTTTGATATAAAACTCACGTATGTGACTACGTGGTTTTTTAGTTTTATTTAAAAAAAAAACTTAAGCTTACAACTAACGAATCGAAAAAATGGTGAACGAACACAATCAAATGCTTACTGGTATTTTGTTTTTATTTTGCGCTCAATATGAAATTGATAGTTGTCGTCATTCGAGAACAATACACACGGATCAATAATGGAAAAACAATGAGGTCAGGGTCCAGTGAACAATTAATCGTTGTCGAAAACATGTGTATGTAATTCTTTTTGGAGCGAATAATTAATTTGAATCAAATGGAAATTTGATTAAATCAATTAGTAGTTTGAATTTTTATTTTTTTAATTAAAACTATGTCGAAAAAAATCATTTAAAATTTATTCTGTTTATGCAAATTGAATAAAAACATTTTAAAAAATGTTTCAATATTTCCCAGCTATCGAGAAACTCTGTCATTATTTTTTTTTCAAATTTTGTTCAAATATTTAGAAAAAAAACTCAAAATTTCTCAAACCTTTCATTACTCATTTGATCTCTTGACGACGATAACCAAAATTTACATTTTTGTTTTATTTTCAATTCCATATTGGTGAGTAATATTGAAACTCCCATTCAGTTTTCGAAATGCTATGCATATTTCACTTTCACTCTATTAAATAACATTAAAAATTAAAGAAGTGTAACAGCTTTTCCATTTTTCTCATCCGGTGACATTTTTTTTTTCTAAAACATTCCCCGAAATCCTTTGCAATCATTAGAATATTCCACAAGGGATATAAGCTGAGAGATTTGTAATAGCGAATTTCCGATTTGTAGTTTACATTTTTCATAAAATATTATACTATTAGTCGTTCTCCTCAACCTTTAATCTTAGAAGTTTTATTTTCTAGTAAACAAACAAAAGTTTATTTCGGTCGAAATCTCATCATTTTCATTAAAAGCGCCTAAATTAGATTTTTAATTAGGTTTCGTTCTACTCAACGGTTTCCGGTTTTCAAAACGGGGTGCACACGACTCTGAGTCGGAAATACACATGTATGCGAGCAGAATATGTGCCAACGAGCAAAAATGCGAGCTCTATTTTAGAATTCCATCTGTCATATAAAATGCACACTTTTCAATTATCAAAATATGATGCCCTTTTTTTAAGGGGGCAAGACGGATTATAAATTTGAGAGAATTAATTGACGTTTGCAGTAATCATCGTTATACCTAATTTTTTGTTTCTCGAGCACGATTCTTATCAATTGTATTGTTCGCCACGGTTCTACTGATTAGATGAAAAGGTCATCGCAAAAAATGAGGAAAATGAAAATGTCGACCACGAATTTTTGCAATCTGGCAAAAATAATAACATTGTTCAATAAGAAAAAAAAGCAGCAGGTGGTATCTACGAGAAATGCAACTCATTTTCAAAAAAAAAACATTTGAAAAAGTTGCAAATCCGCTCCATTAAGACCCGGAACACTCCGCAAATTGCACACTATTTACATGCTAAAGAGGCAACCCCGTTTCTCACTCACTTCGTCACGCCCCGACCTCTCTACAACAACTTGTGTGTTGTGTGTGTGTGTCTTTTCTTCGGTTATTTTTGCGTCGCCGTTTCTCAGCCCTACCACCAACCACGGTTTTGTGTGCGCGTTCTATTTGGCCTTTCTGTATTCCATGTTGTTTTAATAATGGACGCTTCACTTTATGAAATATGTGCATTTTCACATATGAATGTGATTTTTCCACAAAAAGCGGCATATTTTTTTATTTATAAATATTAAATCAAATCCAGCTGGGGAGGGGTTCGCATTTTTCGATCGTCGTGCAAAAAAAAATGAAACCATGTAAAATGATGCTCATTTCGTGGACCAAGCCAATTTCCTTTTTTCTTTCGCGCATTTCTCACCCACCCTGCCGTTTGCAACAATTTTTTTTTGGTGCGCAGATTCGCAATATTGTGCGCCTGCCTGTGTGAGTATGCTCGCGCTTTGCTTTTGTGTCCTTGTGGCGTTTGAATGAATTCCTTAGACAAACAATCAAACGTCATATCGCTCCAAAAAAGGACGAGACAGAAGAATATATCGCGTTATTACTACGCAGCATTCGAGGCCATACAGTTCCTATTGAGTGCTTTTTTTGTTATATTCAGCATCGATAAGATACGACTATTATTATTCAGTTCAGTGATCATCTCGTTCTCTCATTTGATTTATCAAATTGAGGACATTACGATTTTATTTGCGCCGAGGATTATACGAACGAAATCTCGCTTCACACCAAATTTTTTACTTTTTTCTTTATATGACAGCGGAAATGCAAGAATTCATCAGAAGGCCCAATTCAATTTCGGCTCTATTATCCGGAAATTGCAATTTTTATCAATGAAGAGCATTTTCCCGCCGTTTTATAATTTTGTGCTCCAGACTAGACGCTCTCACCCAAAATCAGAGCAGAACACAAAAAAAAAAAACATAATTTTTTTTCCATTCGCACAGCTTTTTGATGCTGTTAAATAATTCATGCGTTTCGTGTTTTGAGCTTTTGAAAACGTGAGCTCTCAGCTTGAGGAAAAATGGTGTTCGTTTTTATAATCTTTTCGAGCGACTGATGAATGTGCACCGCGGGGAACGCCGCTTGTTTTTCAGCCATTTTGTGTTTTGTTCGGCAAAACGAAACAAAATTTTGAGCATGGGAAATGTTCCACGAGTGTCGCATTTTTTTTCTAGTTGTTCAAGGAAACACAGAAAAGAAAAAAAAAACTCAATAAGGAAGTTCGAGTTAGACTTTCGTCATTGGGAAGACAAAGTTTTCAAACATTGACTTTTGATCTACATTATTCGCATCCGGATTCTGCAAACATTTCAATGATAACTCACCGTGCAATTGTATCTTATATAATTCGTGATATGTGCCATAACGAACGAACCAATTTTTGTTTCATTCAACGTATTACTATACATACATTTGACATTTTGATTGCATTTTTCGAACGCCGCGTTCCGTTGCGTTCTCATCGGCCCTCCTACTCCACTCCTCCCCCCCCCCTTTCTCTATCGCATAACACCCCGACGCCCCATTCGATACTTCATTCCATTCCCACTACAAATCAATTTGAAACGTTTTCTCGCTCTCCTGACTTGCGTCTCCTGTGCTGTATACGGTCGGGGCGATCGTCGATGGTTGAGGCTGTTTTGTAGTCGAAAACATGATATGTTTTTGCGGCCCCCGACAACCGATCACACGACATTCTATCTTTGTACATGCATTCATACGACTCCGGAAATTGATTGATGATATTGTTATACATAGTTTGTGATTGTTGCAGGTTCAAGGACATTTACCATCAAGTCTGGACCAAACATGCCGTTGCCGTTATTTGGGAAAAGCCACAAATCGCCAGCTGATGTTGTCAAACAACTCAGGGAGGCACTTTTAATCATTGACAAGGTTCCCAATTTTTTTCGTCATCTGCTCGGACGAATACGAAAATTTTGTTTTAGAGTACCAGCACGGAAAAGAAGACAGATAAGGCCCTGGAAGAAGTCAGTAAGAACTTACAAGCGATCAAGGGTTTCATCTACGGTTCCGATGGTCAAGAACCTCATAGTGATCAAGTAAAGATACTAATTAGAAACGCCCAAATAATATACGACTACTCAGATTGCTCAACTAGCTAATGAAGTTTACAACGCGAATATATTGCCAATGCTCATCAAGCATCTCTCAAAGTTTGAGTTTGAGTGCAAAAAAGATGTCGGACAGATATTCAACAATCTGTTGAGAAGGCAGATTGGAACACGCTCGCCGACCGTTGAATACCTTGGAGCTCGCCCAGAGATTCTTCATCAGCTTGTCAATGGGTAATCAATTACGAATTGTGTGCTCCGAAAAATTGAAAACTTTGAATTATTTCAGGTACACGCATCCCGAAATTGCCCTAACTTGTGGTTCGATGCTCCGCGAAAGCATTCGACACGATAATCTTGCCAAAATCGTCCTCTACTCGGACATCTTCTTCAAGTTCTTCGTATTCGTTCAAAGCGAAGTCTTCGACATTGCTTCTGATGCGTTCTCATCCTTCAAGGATCTTGTTACTAAACACAAAACCATGTGCGCTGAGTTTTTGGACGCCAACTACGATAAATTTTTCAGTGAGTTTTTCAAAAAAATTGCAATTTTTTCCTGTGCTTGCTTCAAATAACGCAGCGCGTTATGGTATTTATGGTAATCGAGCGGTCATATTAAAAAGCAAATTTGCATTTGCCGGTGCATATGCAAATGAAACGTCGCTTATTATTATTGAGAAGAGCGCAAATAGTTTCGGTGTCGCTTTATGGAATTTTCGCTCACAATTTGGAATGGAACCAATAAAACTGTACAATGTTTTTGCATTCTTATCGGGCAATTTTGCACAATTTTAGGCAACTATCAACAGCTGTTGAACTCGAAAAATTATGTGACTCGAAGACAGTCGTTGAAATTACTTGGAGAACTTCTGTTGGACCGGCACAACTTCAACATTATGACAAAGTACATCTCGAATCCCGAGAATCTCAAGCTTATGATGGAGTTGTTACGTGATCGCAGTCGAAACATTCAATATGAAGCTTTCCACGTGTTCAAGGTTAAACAAATATTTTTCCTAATTTAGCAATACCATCAAACTACAGTAATCGAGCAAATTTGATTCTCCCATTCGTTTATCTTTTTTTTTGTTTCGCTGCTCCGATGAAAACCTATTGTAGTTTTATTGCAATTTTATCATATTTTCTATTTGATTGTTGGACTAATTGATTTTTGATATTTTGATCTACTAGCAGAATGATTTTCAGGTATTCGTTGCCAATCCGAATAAGCCGAAACCGATCTCCGATATTTTGAATCGTAATCGCGATAAATTGGTGAGTGCGAACATTCAATTGAACATAAATTGAGTGGAAATTTATAGGTGGACTTCCTCTCCGAGTTCCATAATGATCGAACCGATGACGAGCAATTCAACGATGAAAAAGCGTACCTCATCAAGCAAATTCAAGATATGAAGGGTCCGTCGAGCTCGTCCAGCTCATCACAAGCAGCGGCTGCATCAGCTCACGCTCAATCCGCGGGATCAGCTTCGGGAACCACATCAGCACCGGCTTCTTAAAACATGTGATAGAGAAAAATATTCAATTTTTTGGCAATAATGTCCTTGACCAGCTCATTTTTAGTACCATTTGTTGGACGTTTTGCATCAAAACTTTTTAGGGATGAAAAAAATTTAAAAAAAAACTATTAAGCATGACTCACTTATTATATATAGTCTTTTATTGTTTTTTGAGAACTGGTAGAAATTTGTTCAAACGATTCAGCTGTAAATTTTACATAACTTATTCAACGCCTAGGGTTTCTGGAAAATCGTTACTAGGCCACCGTTATAGCGCAGTCATATCGCCGGCTCAACAATGCGGTTTGCATTCAACGAGATTTCCAATTTTTTTGGTTTTAATTTGAAACAAAAAATGATAATGGTGGTCAAATATGTTCTTTCTCTGTGTCTTATTCAACCCTTATCTCTCTCTCTCTCACACACACACAAATTTCTCCCGATACATTACATTCAGTTCAATTTTTCTTTGATAAATGTTCTTGTTTGATATACACTTGAGATGCAAGCACAAACAATGCTGACGGATGGATAAATGATATCAAAAAAATAGTTGCTAATGATTAAATTATTCCTGATTTTCGCTATTTATTGCTCATTGTTCATTCGGCTCATCGAACCAAGTAAAGCTGAAGGAAAACTCTATAAGTGAGCCGATTGTAGTCCATTAACGGAAATTGCGCAATTCCTTTCAGGGACGTTTTAGCAGGATATTTAAAGCTTGCGAGACCTGTCAGAAATCCAAGAGATGCTTTGAAAGTGCATATGAAAGTGTTTTTACAGCAAATTTTGAATTTGGTAATCAAAAACAAAATGTTGTGAGTTTTGCGATCGGGATAATCAAATTTCAGGATGGTAAAAATCAAATAATTGAGGTCAATGCATGGCTGAAATATGTGAGTCTCGTCGTTATTTGCAATTCATTTACCACCAATCGAGTTTTTTCTCGAAATCTAACGCTTTCACACGCAATATCTTTTCTTACACAAACTCTTGTAAAGTATCACTCAATGTCTGGAGATTTTTGATCTACTAATTGATAACGAACAAACTCGCGTCTGAACAGCCAAGATCTTCGTTTCATTTTACTTAATTTCTTCCGGTGGCGCCAACTTCCGGAAAAATTGAAACAACGGAATGCGGAATCGAAACAAGTTTAGTAACATAATTGGCCGCTCTCACGTGACATTTGCAAATGACTTTTCCGAAACGATTCCAGGTTTGGATTGATTATCGACTTCAATGGGATCCAAAGAAATATGATAACATAACGAGTATTCGGTTTGCCGGTGGCGAAAACCAAATATGGCGGCCTGATGTTCTGCTATATAATAGGTACAATTCAAATAAAGCAATGTTATATTATTAATAAAGCGCAAATGAGGACTTTGACTCGTCGTTCAAATCAAATGAAGTGGTATATAATACGGGAGAAGTGAATTGGATTCCACCAGGTGTCAAAAAATCTCAAATCGCTTCAAGAATAGTCATATATATTTGAAGGAATTTTTCGCGCTAGCTGCAAAATGGATATCACCTATTTCCCATTCGACGATCAAGTCTGCTACCTGAAATTTGGATCCTGGACATACAATGGACTCGCCCTAGATCTCAGTATCATATCAGAAGATGAACATGAAGGTTTCTTTTCACTTTTCATAGTAAAAGCGCAGATTTCTATTGTTCTTGGTTGCGTTCAGGAATATCAATTGATTACAGAGAATTCGATTGATCTATCAACCTATACAACTAGCGGGGAATGGCATCTCACGCGGGCTCCGGCTGTCAAAGATATCAAATACAATTCATGTTGCCCGGAACCATATTCAACAGTTACATTCTACCTCTTCCTTCGTCGCAGGACCCTATTCTACCTGTTCAACATCATCTTGCCATCTCTACTTATTTCAATAATGACATTGATGGGATTCTGCCTTCCAGCACACGATATGTCGGAGAAAATTGGATATCGTAAGAAGAATCAAAAACTATTGATTTGAAAGATGTAATACGTTTAGAAACAACAATTCTGCTATCAATTTGCTTCTTCGTGACGATCGTTAGCGAAATGACTCCACCAACGTCAGAATCAGTTCCGTTATTAGGTAGAATATTTTTAATGGTATTATTAAAACTATAGCGCATTTTTCAAGGAATGTTCTTTTCATCTCTTACTTTGATCAGTGCAGTATCAACAGCTTTCACCATTACAGTTCTAAATTTTCGGTATCGCCAAGTGAAAAATATCCACATGCATCCATTAGTAAATTTAAAAAATTTTTCCATAGTAGCTCGACACAAGCTTTCAGTTTTACAAGGTATTTCTTATTTGGATTCCTTGGATGCTTTTGATGAAGAGACCTGGAGTTTTCTATAGAAAGCGAACTGCCACGTCTCTCGAGGAGGATGACGTTTCAATTTTTGACGATTGCGAATCTGAAGTAAGATGTCACAATTTTAATAAATTCCAATTGCTTCGAATTATAGTGCTGCCCTCAAGTATCTGACATAATGATGCATTCGATTGACAGCGCTGAAACTTTGCCGCTGCCATCCGCTCCTCGACCATTGTACAAAAAAATGCATAGGTTTTGACTAATACTAATTCAACTTCATGACCGCATTTTCAATTTTTGTTCTCAGTATGCCAGCGGAGCACTTAAATTTGGACCGGAAAGTTGGTGATGGCATTTTGAAGAGTCTTAAACGACCACTAGTGCTCTCTCGGAGTTTGAGCAAGACCAACTCATTAAGAAGTCGAAGGTCGGTTCAGTTCGAGAAATACATTAGAAAATGTATTGACGAAGCGAAAATGAGAAGTAAGTTTGTTTGAAACTCAAATTTTGAGGTGGGGGAGGAAACAATTCAAAAATGCTGTAATCTATAGCCTGATTTCCAAAACAAACTGCTATTGTAATTATTATTTGTCTCCTGTGGTTTTTTTTCAAAGTTCGTAATATAAACGTGAACCACAGCTTGTCTGCACTACACAAAAAAAATGTATGGTAGCCGCTTTTTTGAACCCACTTTAAAATATCTTTTGGGTAAAATTCCAAGAGGATGTTTTTATAGGTCGTTGAATGCGTAATTAAACATGAGATGGGGAACGTTCTTATAATTGACTATCCGTCGTTACAGTATCCAATAAAAGTGCCAATTCACACATACATAAATGCAAATGAGATGGGCTTATTCATTGAAAACGATTCGTATTCGTACTGTCGGCTTCGCGAGCAATAAACAAAGAAATAGAATGAAAGAAAGGAATAATGTGTGATGTGCTCGCGTGAACCAGAAGAGCCCATTTAGGGAAAAAAGTAATGGGTGAAGAATTATGAGAGCAGCATAGGAGGATTACTTGAACGAGCAAAATAGGGACTTTTTTTAATTTTATGAAATTGAACGTAATTTTTACTATTTGAAAAGGAAAGTCCGTTTTCTAGAGTAACAAGGTAACAAAAAATTAGAAGATATAAAATTATTTAAATTGTCTTAACTTTGTATTGAATATAAATTTAAATTTGAATTGATTTCAGGGCATTCACACAACTCCACTTATCACATGTCTGTTATAAACTATTACACTCAAATTGATGAAATGCTGAAAGTGCTGAACCAAAGACTCGATACCCAAAGAGATTCACTTTATAAACAAGTCAGATCTTCATCGAAATTTGTTTATCAGATTTCAGCTTGCAGGATGATTGGAAATTCGCCGCAATGGCACTTGATCGCCTTTGTCTGGTGCTTATAACAATCCTTATATTTTCGTGCATTGTCGCATTGTGCCTATCGACGCCGCATTTTGAACCATGATTCTCAAATTTTTTTTTTCAAACTAATTTTTATTCAAAGAAGGCACATCATATTATAAGATAATCATAATATTATAATAATAAACACACAGAGTTACAATAAGCTGGAGATTTTCAAGAAAGCTATTTATGTTGTTTTTGGGAGAGGTTTTAAAAATAAAGAAACATAAAAGTAAACAATTACATTGAAGAAACATGAAAAATGAGAAAGAAGCACCAAAATAATGATTTGAAAAATGAACTGAAAATAGAAACATAAATACAATTTCGCATGAGTGAATTTCAGAAAATAATCATGGTCGCTCCAATTAAACGAACATTTCCATGCTAAATTAGTTTCAGAATTTCGTAATGGTTGAAGCAACGCTAAGAGCAAACTACATTTTGTTAGCTTCAATAAGACATGTTGAATAGTTTTTTTGTTCAGATTGGAGATATTGTGGGGAAAAATAATACCCGCTAAGGGGCCAAGGTGTCGGTATGGCAAAACCATTGAATAACGGGGGAATAGAGACTAGGTTTCAAAATTTTTTGATTTCGTTATAATTATTGCTTTTTTTCAAAATTATTTTGACACTATTGTAGTGTTGTGATGTTAGATTAAAAAAATTCAATTTCACCGTAAAAATTGGAATGAGAATTTTAGGAATTCTGTTGTTTCTTGCGCGCGATAATGGTGATTACGAGAAGTGTTGTTTTTTCGGTAGTTTGCTATTCTAATAAGCATGGAGGATAAATCATTTAGCTATCAATTGAGTCTTTGACCAATTGTGGGACCTTTGCTTTATCCTCAGTTGGAGCCTCCGTTGTAATGTGCGGAATTTGGTGTTTCACCTGAAAACAAAACATGATCTTTTTGTCTGGTACATTTTTGCCCAGTTGAAGCAATTCGGTTTCTCTTATTTTTTTTTTCTGATAATAAAATCCGTGCCGATCATATTACAAGGTCATGTTTCCGAGCTGTCGTGTTGCTCATGTAAATCATCGGAAAATCAAGACGAAAAACTGGCTTACCGCCGATCCGTCGTTGTCCGCCACGAGTCGTGTCGTCTGTTGATGGTTCATGTGACCGTGCCGCATGAAGGTTGGCGCTATATTCTGATGTGACCTGAAACGAACGATAGCATTGCGTTAATCGTGCTCCACCGCATTCCCTTTTGGATGGGAATACTTATGGGTGAAATAAAAATGAATGAAAAAGTGAGGAAAAAAAGCAGTACTAAAAATTGTTTAGTTTAAAGTGAAAGTTGCTTTTTTATGTTAATCAAGTTAACAGTTTGCGTCTTAAAATGGGTTTTAGTTGATTCAGTCAAGTCAAATGTCATTCTGGTGATTTTCTAATTTTAACCACCAATTGAAAAGTAAAAAAAACAATGATAGAGTGAGGAAAAGTGTGCGCAATTGCTAAATTTTCATATTATGTCAAACTTAATTTTTTTAAATACAATGCAAATTTGAACACTGTTATTTTTTATGCTAAATGAAATTATTATAAGCTTTTGATTAGGTGTTTCAATTCTTCACTTTTTTGCAATATCAAGCTCTTTACCCTTAAGCTTCAAGCCATATGCTAGTGCTTTACAACAATATTATACCATCAGCTACTACAGGTTCAAAAATTAGCAGAAGAACAATTTTCGGCATATATAAAGTGCACTACGATAATCATAAATGTGCTCTCTCTCTTTCTAACAAAGCAACATGCCGCTTGAATTGTCGGTGTGCCACATTCCAATATTGCCGAAATAAATAATAAAATAATAGTAAAGAGACGGTCTAATCAAATGTAAAAACGTGATTAGATATATAAAAAAAACAAGAAAAATAACAAAAATCAAGACCTTCACCTTTTCCTGACGTAATCGGCCTCTATAATGAAGATAATTTAGATTTTAGGTTTTTCCATAAATGTTTTAGTTAAAGGATGATGTATTCTTTGAAAAGAAAAATGTTGAACCTGTGGTGATTTCTTCCCATGTAGCTACTACTATTTGTATCAGTCCGAACAGTTGTAAGCATGTCTTCTCCAGCTTGTTGGGTATTGTTGAAGTCTCGTTGACTCTCAAGCTGTAATTACGTTTATTGGAAATGCGTTCCACCGTTGAAAGTGCGAACCTGATAGTCCCAGTTGCGACGTCTCGGCTGGTTGCGACGGCTGCGGCGGAAGCAGAAGACGAAGAGGTATATTACAAGCACGACGTATCCTGCAAGAAAAAAGTGATTGAAGTGCCAGATGTCGAAATAATAAATGATAAATCGCTATAAAGCTGACTCAACCATCCGGCATGCAGATGGGATAGATAAATAAAAGTTGTTGGTGTTGCCGGACACCATGTGGGAATAAGCACCAACGAACCTGTAATAGTGAGCGCGATGAAGCAAATTCGCATGTCATTCAGATATGAAGCCACATCGTGAAGGTCATCGGCCATCCGAATAAATTTATACGACTCGCTGAAATTTGCAATTTTTCGACCTGTTTTTTTTATTCATCCCCCCGCGCGATGATAACTATAGGCAACCCAAACCTTTTTTCGATAACCTCGTATAAAATTTCCTGCATTACTCCTTTTGATTTTTCTATGTCGGCCACTTGACTCATATTTATGCATAAACTCTTGATGCGACCAAAGCGTTAAGCTGTGTGTTCTTCAAATTTGACAATTCGATGAATTAAAAGAAAATCAAAATTTTTCTTGTTAGTTCAGCTACTAAAATGAAAAAAAAAACAGCGAAGGCGATGAAGGAGGAAACGCAAACGAAGGATGAAAATACGAAGGAGACGAAAAAACAAACGTTTCGACGAAAAATCAGACAATTATATACTGCTTCTACAAGCCGTTATTCACTAATTATCAACTACATTTGTCTTGAGAGATGCACATAATTGCTGCTCTTCATGCTGAGCACAAAACGATTTGCTCGTCAAACCGCTGCCTAACTTGGCCAGCTTCGGGTTAAAGAAGAATCATCGTACGTAAAATTCAGAATATGAAAAGCGCCAAAAAAAATTGCGAGTATCTCTTGTAAACAGATACGTTACACAACTCGTGTCTAACATGCGAAATTCAGTTCTTGTGATTTGTGAAGAAATTTGGCACACAAAAAATAAATGAATGAATTCTGGTATATTGAATACGGGGAACAATTCAAGGTTAAAATGCACAGCGAAGAATGAAGCATAAAAACGGGCGCGGGATATGCGACCCATGGGGATACCCCCACCCCTCACCGAAAAAAAACTGGCAAGGACAAAAAGCGAGATTTATGGGTCTCAATATTTCTCAACTAGCCAATTTTGATTTAATTTCAATTCGATGAGCCCTCTTGCATCGAGACGGTCGATGAGGCGAGAATTCATTTGAGTGCGTGGACGTCTCATTCAAATGATGAAGAGTCGTCACTGACTAAAACTCGACACATGAAAATGAGCGAATAAGCCTCGTCTCACTCTCGAGTGCTCAAAAAAAGTCGCGTTCCGTCTGCGTGCGCTATTTCGGCGCCCACCCGGGCGTCACCGCGTCCCTCCCTCCAACTTTCAGCTTATGCTTCTTTTTTTTTCACGCCGATCCGTTTCACTCATTTATTCTCAAATTTCGGCCAAACGCCGCGAATGATCATCATGATGAGCATTCACGACGAATAAAACATGGTACTCGACAGATGTTGACTACTACGAAGCATGAAAATCAACAAGTCGAGTGTTATTAAGATCAAAATTCAGTGTTTATAAGAAATTTCAGAAATGCTAACGAAAATAGCTAAATTACTCGAAAACTTTAGCGAACAAAGCTCATGTTTGAAGCTTTAGTCAATCTTAATTTCCGGAGAGAACCGAGTCCAGATGGTTCTTATTTTCTATATTGCACTTTCGATCAAGATTCAAGGCGAATCATTATTTGAATTCCTAATGAGCAAAAATTGTTTTGCCTGTTTTGTCTTATCGAAGTCACAGTGCAATTAATGTGGACTCGAAAATACATAGCACATCTGAAAACGGTTGAAACGGACTTACAGTTTCTCAATAGTCTCGGCACACAATTTCATGGCTTCGTAGAATTTTTAGCTCTCAATATAAAATAGTTGAAACCAACTGATGTAGGACGATTGCAGTTTGAGATTTTCTCATTTCAAAAATTCATACTCGATTTCTCATGAAATATTCGCTATCTAATGAAATGTACTCTGATTCCCACATTATCGAGGGAGAGGGGGTGTATGGTAAAAATGAGCATAAAACGTGATATACACATCCGTAAATGTACATATGCAATATAGATAGAAGAAACGTCTCGAGGAGCCGATTAATATTATTCGAAAAAATCTCAATTTCAAGGCACTGCTTCTCATAATAAATGAGGTCGTCCGTTGTGAATGCGACAAAGCTTGAAACTCGATATGTTTCGATAAAATCGCTCATTCCAACAATTCGAGAGGGAGGGGAATTTTTGCTCAGTTGACAGCAAAAAATATATAATAGGAGCATGAAAAAGGGGGGGGAGAAGAAACAAGTTGAGAAGTTTTGCCTTCTCCTCCCATACTACTCATTAACGAATTCAAAAGAGGCTCGTTGAAAGCGGAAAAAAGGAGAACATAAGGAGGTCTGAAGAAACATTCTCGAATATTAATTTTAGTTGGCAAGTTGGAATCTCCTTTGAAAAATTGGCGTCGAGAGCATCTTTTCAAAAAACAAAAACAAAAAAGAAAAGATAGATGATATAGAGCGTTTTGTCGCACCCAGGACGTGATGAATTGATTGATCTAATTTTGAAGGATTTCTCGTTCTTCCTTGAACGCCAATTTTTTTCCCAATTTTTTTCGCAATCTTCTTTTCGATAAAATGGAGCAAAAACTAATGAAGAACGAATTGCGGTGTGTGTACACATCTGCCGCGTAAGACGCCGAGGCATTATTTATATAGAGTTCCTCATTTTTTTTTGTCCACAAATAATCATAAGAAGGGGGAGGGGAAGGAGGAATATGTTATTGTTATTGTAGACGTAGTAGATGTAGAAAAAGCCACTTATTGATGCAGCCGGGGCGGTTCATATGGGAGAAACGACACGAATAATTGATGCAATGCAAACGAATCAGATTGCTTCTTTTGACTACTTTTGCACTTTGCCCTTGAGCTACGAGCGGCTCCAGGAATAATGTGCGTGTTGTTTTTGATTGCAAATAGAGCAGAAGGAACCATTTCAATAATTGGTCTTGTTCCTTTTTATGACGCATCAATCTTGTCTTTTTTTTCAGATTGGGTTGAGTTCAAAAGAACGGAGTGAGTTTTCGAATTACGTAAGGTATCGTAATCTGTATCAAAGACCGAAATTTCATCTGCCGACAACGACTTGATGAAAATTATGAATTTCTTTCTAAATAGGCTTCTACCGAAAATCAGGCGATTTGTATTTCGGAGAATATAGACATCCATTGACGCAAACAAAACACCCTCAATTTCCGCGATTTTGCTAAAATTGGAAGTTTTTGTACAAAAAAAATCGAGTACTTTGAACTTCTGCTCGTCTATTAAAATGATCAATGCTGTAAATAGTTGAAATATAGAAAAAAAAACTAGAATATAGCATTCTGTCGAAGATCTAAAAATTCGACAAATTTGAATAGTCAAACGCGTCGACCATTTTTTTATATTATGTCGGCGCGAAATTTAAATATATTTAAATGCTCCTACTTTAGAAGACCATGTCTCGAAAATTTCAATCAACATCCCATCCCCCTTCATTTGAATTCGTCCATCTTCAACAAAATCTTGCAGAACTTTGGATTGTTCTTAACTAATTTTTGCAAAGCTCTTTTCAAACATTAAATAATTTTTTAAAACCTGGAAGCCAATACAAAATTCGAATACCAAATATTTGCTATATTTAAACATTAAACTACTTTGAAATGCATCGAGTTGAAGTTCAGAAAGCCAGAAAAAAAAAGATAAATGAGCTCTTCACAATACTAGCAAAATGATTAAAATGAAATGATGATGAAATTGAGCAAAAGCTGCGGCTTCTGCCTTAACCGATCACTAATAATTTTGTTTACTTTTGTATTGCCTTGAAAATTTCACCTTGCAGGTGAAATGGAACTACGCAGGTGAGAATTTCCGTTGTTTGATTGCAAATCCACTTACCCGTATTCCGGCGGCCGATAAAAATCCATTTTATTCTGGAAGAACGACACTTTGGCAGCTGAATAAAATCAATGTTATAATTGGGAATTCGTGGCGAGACACAAAAAAAAGATGTAAAGTTAAGAAAACAAAATCGATGAATGATATGGCGGACCACAATTTCCGATTGGAATTTCCGATGATACGAGATACTTATAAGGCATTTGCGCAAGAAAAAATCGGAAATTAATATATTCCATAATGCGTTACGTATTTTTTCGTCTTTAGAATAAGTGGGGTAAATTTATTTGAAAGGTTATTTGAAGCGTTTGCGCCATTTCAAATATATCACATTCCAATATGGTATATTTGCGCGCCAATTCAAAATCACAATTAAAAACGATGACGGAAACCGCCCATTTTTCTCTTTGATGGAGCTCAATTCGTCAAAAAAAAGTAGTTGATTGAAACATTTGGTGGCAGAAGATTAGTTGCCAACTCAAAATTGGATGAACGTCAACTGATTGCGCGTCGCTCGCCTTGTTTGGTAGTGTCGTGTATATATTTCATTTGTAGACGTGTAAAAAAATGAGGGGAGGCTCGAAATATTTTTGAAGATGAGTTCATCACTGAGCGTTTTCATCAATATGAAATGAATTACGGGCGAATTGGGTCTCGAATATTTTATTGTTTCCGATAACAATATTAATGAGAAATTTACAAGAGCCAATTACGAGATCACGAAGATACTTGCTGTACTAGGCGAATTTGTTTTTCGAGAATTCCAATGAAAAGAAAAGTTGGCATAGTAAGCAGAGGGAAATTAGAATTTTGTTTTAAAATTGATTTTCTAGGCAATTTCAGCGAAAATGTTGTGTTTTAAACAACTCTTCGTCTACTTTTGAGCTTCTCATTTGGAATTTTCAGAAGATTCTTGAAATCGTTATAATGCATATTTTGAATATTTGAAAATTTGCAAGCAAATATTTTAATATCAATTTAGCAGAAAAATAATCAGGAACATTTAGAAATAAAGTTTCAACTCCAATAATAATCCCCGAACTGATGAATTATCTTTCAAGAACATTTCAACCAAGGAAAAACTAGCAAATGAGACAATATTTTTTCGCAGGGGCCAGTTGTTTTCAAAAATAGGCAAAAAATGAGCCGAAAAAAAATGGGCGATGAAGAACAAACAGAACAGAAACAGCGTTAGAAGCATCAACTCTCAAAAAAAAACGGAAGACGACGAAGGCGAAGAAACAAAAAGGAAGAGCAAAAAAAAATAAAACTCGAAATTAGTAAGCAAATGTGTGAAATTGACAAGTGAGACCTCCAAGTGAGTTAATACATTTTTCGAAGTTTTATATTATACTATGTAATTATGCTGCATGTGCATATCAAAAGAGTTGCCCATGAATATTAGAGTGGATTTCAAACGAAAG